TATAATCAATATGTCATCCATATATCTAAATGGTATAAAGTTTGAACGATCTGTATGTTGTTTAGCATACATATACTCGAAATATGAGAGGGTTAAGTCTGCTATTAAAGGGCTGCAATTGCTACCTTGTGGTACACCTATGTTTTGTTTAAATACTATTTCTGCAAATCTACAAAAACTATTGTTCAGCAAATATTGTGTTAGGTATAATATATCTTGTATATCATAGATTCTATATTTGTTATTTTCTGGTGTGTTAATATAAAAAACTATATAACCATTACTGGCTACATATTTTTTGTTAGCATTCTTAAAACAGATTTTCAAAATTTCTTTCAAGTTGGTGAGGATGCAGTCGTGTCTGAGATTATTGAACATGTCTGTAAAATCTGCGGAGAATAGTTTTACATTATCTAACTCAATGTTATTGAGTATATAACTTATATTAGTATCAGTAATAGACCAGTAACCTACAAAGTTTTTGTCCCGCGTTTTAATGGAATTCATATAGTTATGAAAATACGTTCTTATGAACTTCCATATTTTGCTCAATTCTAAAGAAATGGGTTTAGTGCTGCTTTTGCATGCTCCAGTTATGTGCCTGAACTTTATTGGTTTTTTATGCAGTTTTGGGATACTGTATATAGTGGGTATATCTAAGTTTTCTATGCTAGGTAGTTTAAAATTTTTGCACATATTTCTATGATTTTCTATAATCTGTGGGTCACATATATTTAACATCGGAGTATACATGTTGCTTAAATTAGCTTCTTTATTAATAACTAGCTGGCTTACCCGGCTCCGCCGTATCCGGACCAAACTTGGCACACATACACTTCGGGCCCCGGCGCGTGTCACAGTCCACTTTTCGTTATCGATCGATGTCGATCTTACCGATTTTTATCGATTTTTTCGCAGAGTTCACCTACAGGGCTAGGAGTTGGCACAGGGGGGAAGTGAGCATGGGGATTCCGAATACAATATTAGTTTTCAGAATTATCGGTTACTTTTATTGATTTTATCGATTTTTTGTAAATTTTGACATGCGAGGCTGGGATTTTGCACAGGGGGGTAATCGAGCATGCTGATTACGAACACAATATTAGTTTTCAGGATCGTCCATTACTTTTATCGATTTTATCAATTTTTTTGTAAAGTTTGACCTGCGGGGCTGGGAGTTTGCACAGGGGGGTAATCGAGCATGCAGATTACGAATACAATATTAGTTTTTGGAATTATCCATTACTTCTATCGATTTTATCGATTTTGCAAAATTTGAGCTAGAGGGCTGGAATTTGGCACAGGGGTGTAATCGAGCATGCTGATCACCCCCTTGGGGATGATCAGCATGCTCGATTACCCCCCTGTGCCAACTCCCAGCCCCCTAGCTCAAACTTTGCAAAAAATCGATAAAATCGATAAAAGTAATCCATAATCCCGAAAACAATATTGTATTCGGAATCCCCATGCTCGATTACCCCCCTGCGCGAACTCCCAGCCCCGTAGCTCAAACTTTGCAAAAAAATCGATAAAATCGATAAAAGTAATCGATAATCCTGAAAACCAATATCGTATTCGGAATCCCCATGCTCGATTACCCCCCTCTGCGAACTCCCAGCCCCGTAGCTCAAACTTTGCAAAAAAATCGATAAAATCGATAAAAGTAATCGATAATCCTGAAAACCAATATTGTATTCGGAATCCCCATGCTCGATTACCCCCCTGTGCCAACTCCCAGCCCCGTAGGTGAACTCAGCAAAAAAATCGATAAAAATCGATAAAATCGATATCGATCGATGACGAAAAGTAGCCTATGACACCCGCCGGGGCCCGTAGCGTATGTGTGCCAAGTTTGGTCCGGATCGGTTCAGAAATGGAATTTTCTATTCGGAACATACGTACACACATACAGACAGACATACAGACATACATACAAACAGACATTCAGCTTTATATATAAGATTATATTTTGATTAGATATGAGGATTCCCATTTGTTTACATATTGTTTCCAAATAATATTTTTTACAAATAATGCTATAATTATTGCTAGCTTTGTCTATCGGACATACAACAAAATTTGTGTGTAGATAACTCAAATAAACTCTATTTATTTTTGAGTCGATATCATTATTATTGAAATTCCGTGAGTACATGAGAGGTTTCAGTTTTTGGACCAAATTTTTGTTGAGATTGCTTTTTATAATTTCTAATGTGTTAGTCCGGAGTTTATATTTACATTTGATTTTATCACTAAAAAGTTTTATAGTTTCGGTGATCCAATCTTTTATTTTACTTTTACTAACTTCTTGTCTCAGTCTAAATTTTGTTCCTTTTTTCATTATGTTGCGTAAGTCATAATCTTCTATTATTGTTAGATCTCCTGTAATCACATGTTTATGATAGGGGTCTATATATTTTTGATATTTTGTTTCTTTGCATTCGCAATCTTTATTCAATTGTTCAACCAAATTATCATTGTTAAGCATTTTTAACGTTTTATTATAATCAAAAAGTATTGATGAGATTGGTCGTTCATATTGAAATACTACCCGGAAGGGTATATAGTTTACAATCGAATTGGTTCTTATTGTTTGTGTTATTAGTTTATTATTTAATAATTTATTTAAATTGATATTGTCCAAAATTCTATGTAGGTATGTAATTTTTAGCGTTGTGGCATCTTTTTTCATTTTGGATTCGGGGTTCTTAAAATGGAATTTACAAAGAATACATAATAGAATTGTTCTATTATTTTTATTGATTAAAGAAAGGCTATACGTATTATAACAAAGTTGTATCAATTTATTAATAGTAGATAATTTCAATGAGTGTATATACCTATAAAGATTAGTATTATCTGTTATCTTATTTATATCTTCTATAATCTTATTTAAATCACATACTTTATTTTTATTTTTAACTTTATATCCATTTGTTTTGTTAGGTCTTTTCCTTTCCTTGATTATTTTGAGATTATAATAAGGGTGATTTTGTTTGTATTTCAATGGATTTATAACGTTTGAGATATTCCCATAACCTTTAATATTATCATTAAAACCAAATGGGTATGCTGTCATAAGTAATTTAGTCCAGAACAGCTCTTTTTCCAATAAAACATTTTTATCTTTATTCTCTGCAAGGTTATCTAGTATGGTGAAACGTATATTTTGTCTTTTACAAGTACTAAAATGTTTATATAAATAGTTTTTATTGTCTTTTTTGTTTATGTGATATAAATGTTCTTGCATCCTTTGTTTGATTTTCCTTGTAGTTATTCCTACATATTGTTTAGTACATTCCAGACATGTGAGACAGTATACGACATGTGCGTTATTACAGCTAGTATTACTATCCAGGTATGTGTTTATTCTTAGTTTTGTATTGCTTGATATTATATGTTTTTCTTTATTTATGATTTTACAATATTTGCAAGTATCGGAACAAGCAGTGAATGTTAGTTCGTTACCAAAATTGTTAACATAGAAGTCTTTTAATAATGTATCCCTGCACTTTTCAAAGTTTATGGTTGTGTAATAATTACTACTATCAAAACTGCCAATATGAACTTTTGTATTTTTTGCTGACCCGGGATCTAAGCCTATGGAGGGCCCAATCCATACGCAGAGGAATGGTGTGTTCGGTAGGGCTGCTACCAGGGTTCTGGCTAACCCTTGATTCTATAGGTGTATGGAAGGAATTTTTGTGAAAGCATAGAATTGACACTTTTGGAGGCGTGGAAGCTACCATTCCTTGCCGGCTTACCACTGGTTTAACCCCATCAAAAGAGTCCCTGTTTTTTGAAAGAGGGCAGGCCCTCTTATCTAGGAGTATGTGATTGTGTAAGTGAAAGTGGAAGGAAAATAAGGGTATTGAAAAAGAGGAAAAGTATGAGTTGAGAAGTGGGTAAAGTAAAGTAAATAAAGTGATGCTACTATTGCGTAGCTAAAGATAAGGCAGGGATAAATAAATTATGTGTTACTACATATATATAATATAATCTAATATTGAGTATTATTTTACTATTTTATTTTATTTTATTTTATTTTATTTTATTTTATTTTATTTTATATTTTATTTTATTTTATTTTTTATTTTATTTTATTTTATTTTTTATTTTTTATTTTTTATTTTTTAATTTTTTTTTAATTTTTATAATTTTTTATTTTTTTATTTTTTATTTTTTAATTTTTTATTTATTTATTTTTTATTTTTTATTTTTTATTTTTTTTTTTGTTTTTTATTTTTTTATTTTTTTTATTTTTTATTTTATTTTATTTTATTTTATTTTATTTTATTTTATTTTATTTTATTTTATTTATTTTATTTTTTTGTATTTATGTATATATGTATATACATATGTATGCATGTATGTATGTATTCGTGTATTTATGTATGTATGTATGTATGTATGTATGTATGTATGTATGTATGTATGTATGTATGTATGTATGTATGTATGTATGTATGTATGTATGTATGTATGTATGTATGTATGCATGCTTGTATGTATGTATGTATGTATGTATGTATGCATGTATGTATGTATGTAGCTATGTGTATGCATATATACATTAGAATGTGTATTTTATGTGTGTGTTATATTAATTTCTATGTTGTGTATGACATATGAGTATGTTTTGTAAATATGTTTGAGTATGTAGTTGAGCCTTGTTTATGTGTGTATAAATTTTTTATATGCTTAATATCTTGTAGCTTTAGATTTAATATTCCTACTATGTCTACACTATCACTTTTATAATTAATATAATTTATGGTCTGTGAAATAGGTCCTAAGGCGAAATAAACACTGAGTATTCTATCTGCTACAGTATCAGACTAGTGATATTCTTTTTTAGGTATTGGAAGTATTCAAAAGATATGTATGTATTAAATGAGGTTGACATAACTTTTAACAACAATTTTTATTCTTATAATCAACAATTTACCTTCTATCTAAATTTTTGGTGTATATCCAATTTACTTATTTTAGGTTTATTTATGGAACGTCAGGAAGCATTCCAGGATTCAGTTAATAAAAAAGTCCTGTTAGAGTGGGTAAGGATTACCGGACTTGCTAACCCCCACAAACGCTCTTTTGATCGAGTCCTTCTTGACTTTTCTAACAATATACTAAAGTAAGTTTTAAATAAGTTACATAAATACATAAGTATTTACTGAGATCTATTTTAGATACCCAAAGGATAAGCCCATTGCTTTTAGTTGGTCCACTGCAGCGGGTATCAGTAAAGAAATCACAGCCATTCGTGTAAGTTATTGATATTTCATTGTTACACTGAACAGTATGTTACAATTTAGGCTAAAATAACTTATGACTTCTGGAGGTTTTTTCTGACTGAAGGTCGGCAACACTTAGCGGAATACAACATCGAAAACCACACGGACATACGGATTTCTAAAGAACAAACAATCAAAGTATCTGATACCGAGAAACTTGGGTGAGATTTTTTTTTATTTTTTTATTTTATTTTTATTTTTATTTTTATTTTTATTTTTATTTATTTTATTTATTTATTTTTTTTTTATTTTTTTTATATAAATATATAACGTAGTTTCGAATATATAAGTAATCGACAATTTTAAGACTGTATCTGCGGAAATTCATTCGAGAAATGCATCTTTTGAGTCGCAGAAAGTGTCCAGAAATTTTATATAAAAAAGGAATGCTTCATATTGGAAAGGAACATGTGAGTTTTTTTTATATATATATTTTTTTTATAATTTTATTTTTTTTATATATTAATTTAATATAATATATTAAAGTATAAATGTATGTATTTCTAACTTAGCAAAAATTTTTTGTAGGTGCTTAGTCCGGCCATGGCCGCATTCAGATTCGACGTAAATTTGGACGCCTGGATAGGGCTTCCACTGGAGAATCTTTTTACTCCTAAGGAGAAGGAGTCTATCGAAGTAAGTAAATAAATATTTATGTTACATGTATATTTATTTATATCTTTTTAGAAAGGAGAATTCAAGCGAGGAGAGCTAAGATTGACTGGGATCAATTTGTCCAAACCACTGCCTATTGAAGCCGGCGACGAGGTATTATGAAAAATTAATTTGAGTTGTAGTACTTCAATATTGTTTTAGGGTCCGGAACGTAAGCGATCAAAAAGATGTGAAGATTCAGTAAACCCTGAAGACATTCAAGGCACTTCAAAGGACAATTAG